ACGGAGCACACACTGACGAAGGACACCCAGGTACTAAACGAAGAAGCTCTTCGGGTAAACTGAGCGCTTCGGAAGAGCAAGGTAACTATAGGTCGGGGTGAAAGTAAGCATAAGGCTTATTTGAGTTTGTTAAGACAGCTGTTACATAATATTCCATGGTGTACATGTGCCACATTTTACCTGTCCAGTCTATTATCGATGGGCATTTGGATTGGTTTCAGGTCTTTGCTATTGTAAACAGTGCTGCAGTGAACATTCGTGTGCATGTGTCCTTATAGTAGAACAATTTATAATCCTTTGGATATATACCCAGTAATGGGATTGCTTCATGTCCTTTGTAGGGACATGGATGAACCTGGAAACCATCATTCCCAGCAAACTGACACAAGAGCAGAAAATCAAACACCGCATGTTCTCACTCATAGGTGGGTGTTGAACAATGAGAACACATGGACACAGGGAGGGGAGCACTACACACTGGGGTCAGTTGGGGGGAAAAAGGGGAGGGACAGTGGGGTGTGGGGACTTGGGGAGAGAGAGCATGGGGAGAAATGCCAGATATAGGTGATGGGGAAGAAGGCAGCAAATCACACTGCCATGTGTGTACCTATGCGACAATCTTGCATGTTCTTCACATGTACCCCAAAACCTAAAAGCAATAAAAAAAATAATAAAGAAAAAGACAACTGCTTAAAACGTGCAGAGTGGAGGTAAGAACTCAGAATTTGCTGTTGCTGTTTATTACAATTGAGCAGTTTTACGCATGGTGTCCAAGGAACTATGGAAAAATGGGAAAGAACTGGCAGGGATCTAAAAAAAAGGCGTTCAAAGAGGAAGGTAAGATCCCAATATCGGTTTGGTCTATTTGGGCACTTCTTAAAACTGCTCTTGAGCCATTTCAAACTGACGGTGAAGCAGAGTTGGAGGAGGATGAGAAATGTAAAAGTTTATTCTTAGAATCAGAGCCAGAGGATTTAGAGAAAGAGGAAGTAAGAGAGGAGACAGAAAAGCAGAAACAAGTATCTTTTACTCCTCCTTCTGCTCTGCCTGCTGAGGTTAGCAAATAGCCACCTCCTCCTGCACTTTTAATAGACAGGAAAAATGAAACTGTTGCGAAATGTGCATCCCGGGTAGTTGCTACAATGCCTCCGGGTACTACTAAGAGTCCTCAGGAAGCCGCCATTCAGAAGGCGAGGGCTGAAGGACATACTGAGGCGTGGCAGAGTCCAGTAACCATAACTCAACAACAGGGTCAAAACATAACTTTTTCGTTTAAGTTGTTAAAAGAGTTTAAACAGGCCATCAGTCAATATGGCCCAAATTCACCATTTGTACAAAAGATACTAAAAATGTAGCTTTTGATTATAGGTTAGTTCCATATGATTGGAACACGCTGGCAAAATCTGTTCTTACTCCTGCTCAGTTCATACGATTTAAGGCTAGGACCCAAGCAAGATGGAATGCACAGGCGCAGCCACCCGTCCCTCTGTCACTGTCGATCAATTGATGGGAACTGGCCCTGGCTGGGGCAGACTCCATAATCAAATTGCCATGGGAGATGAGGCTGTTAATCAACTGCGCCTCGTCTGTTTACGGGCTTGGGATAGCATACATGTTACCGGGGGAAAATATCCTTTTTTCACTTCTGTCTGCCAAGGACCAAAAGAGCCTTATCCTGATTTTATTGCCTGACTTCAGGAGGCAATAAAGAAGGCTGTCTCGGACAGGTACGCCCAAGACCTGCTCATGCAACTTCTTGCATTTGATAACGCAAATGCTGACTGCAGGGCGGCTCTTAGGCCCCTTAGAGGAAAGGAACGCAGAGCCAGGCGCTGTGGCTAACGCCACAGCAAACCACCGTGTAGCAAACCACCATGACATGTATGTACCTCAATCGTATTAAACAGCAACAGCAACAGCACCACTTTGGGAGGCGGAGATGGGCAGATCACAAGCTCAGGGGTTCAAGATCAGCCTGATGAACGTGGCGAAACCCCGTCTCTACTTAAGAATATAAAATTTAGCTGGGAGTGGTGGTGCACACCTGTAATCCCAGCTACTTGGGAGGCTGAGGCAGGAGAATTGCTTGAACCTGGGAGGCAGAGATTGCAGTGAGCCAACAGCACACCATTGCAACTCCGGCTTGGGTGACAGAGCAAGACTTCGTCTCAAAAAAAAAAGAATAAAATCTTAAAATGAGGACTGCAAATATGTGGAAGCATAAGGATCCTGGTGTATGTCCTTGATGTAAAAAAGGAAAACACTGGGCAAATCAATGTCATTTTAAGAATAGCAAAGACCTGGAACCAACCCAAATGCCCATCAATGATAGACTGGACAAAGAAAATGTGGCACATATACGCCATGGAATACTACGCAGCCATAAAAAACGACGAATTCATGTCCTGTGTAGAGACGTGGATGAATCTAGAAACCATCATTCTCAGCAAACTGACACAAGAACAGAAAACCAAACACCGCATGTTTTCACTCATAGTCAGGTGACGAACAGTGAGAACGCCTGGTCACAGGGAGGGGAACAACACTCACTGGAGTAGGTGGGGAGGTGAAGGGAAGGGGGGGACAGCGGGGGAGGGGGGAGGATGAGGAGGGAGAACACTGGGAGGAATGCCTGATGTAGGTGATGGGGCGGGGAATGGAGACAGCAAACCACCATGACATGTATGTACCTATGCAGCAATCCTGCAGGATACAGGATGTGCACATGTACCCCAGAGCCCAAAGTACAATTTTAAAAAAATTATTAACAGCATATTCATTAAGCAAGAACCATCTTCAGTCCTCTGTACTCCTTTCTGATGAAACACCACCTAGACTCCAGCCTGTTCTTCAGTGCCCACTAAGAACACCCACCTGCCCTCTCCCATCTACCTGCCTTTGAGTAGGCTCCTCTTATAGGCTAAGCAGCTTTTCACCTTTTTCTTTTTTATTCTTTTTTCTTTTTTTGTTTTTTTCTGAGCTGGAGTCTCACTCGGCCACCCAGGCTGGAGTGCAGTGGTGCCATCTCAGCTCTCTGCAACACTGTCTCCTGGGTTGAAGTGATTCTCCCATCTCAGCCTCCTGAGTAGCTGGGACTACAAGCACCCACCATCATGCCCAGCACATTTTTGGTATTTTTAGTAGAGACAGGCCTTCACCAGGTTGGCCAGGCTGGTCTTGAACTTCTGGCCTCAAGTGATCCACCTCAGCCTCCCAAAATGCCAGGATTACAGGCATGAGCCACCACGCTCAGCCACCTTTTCCTGTCTCTAGAAGTCTTACGGGTACTCAAGGACGTGCCCACATCTTATTTCTATCTTAAGACTTTCCTAGATTGCCCTGGGTTATAAATACCCCAGCCTAGAGTGTTCACTATTTTACTTCTATTGTTACCTCTGTTATTATAGTCTGGGTTGTATTACAGTTTTGTGTGTGTATATTTGGGTGCATATTCCCCCTCGACTGTGAATCTTTGCAGATTAGAATACAGCTTAGTTCATCCCGATTTTGGCATGGCACCGTTCTTCACATATGTCAAGCATTTAGGAGATGTTACTTGAAATTAATTAAATGGGTTTTGTTTGGGTCATTTCTCCCCACCCACTCCCCACCCAACCCTCACATCTCATAGAGTCTTTTTTTTTTTTTTTTTTTTTTGCATTTCTAAACAAAACCTACAAAGTTAGAAGCCTATGTATAGAAGTACCCTCTCTCTAATCATTCTCTGTGTGCTGCAGAAAATGTCCCAGAATTATAACCTCCTACTTCTCTGTTTTTCTGCTTTTCCTTTCTAAGTCATTTAGAAATGACTCACTTTGAAACACTTCCTGTGAAGTCAGATAGTGGTCTAGAGCATAAGGCTTAATTTGTTGGCAGAAACAGAGAAGGAAAGAAGGAGAGAAAGCTCAGCAAATTTTCCTGTCATACTTCATGACTTCATGGTGGCTAAGTTTGGGGACCAGACAGGACTTGTGGGAACATCCAGGTGCTGAAGCATTCAGCTACTGTCTCAGCTTTTTGATAAGAAAATCCAGATCCACCTGATGGCTCACACTTAACCTGTTTTGCTCATTGTAAGTAATGAGTTTAAGGGTCATTATCTTCTATCTCCCTATTCCTTCTCCGATCTTCAATTCTTTTGTCTTATCTCTATGTCTACCTTTCTTTTTCTAAATATTCCACATTTTATTTGTCTTTGCTTTTAACATTTCATAGTGCAATTAATAGTGAATTTTATGTCATTTCTTTCCTGTCTTTGAATCGGCTATGTATTTTCCCTACACTTTGATTCTAGCTGTCCCCATTAGTTTGTTTTTCAAATCCTTCATTGCCCTTTTTTTCCCTTTCTCTTTTCCTTTCTTTTTTTTTTTGAGACGGAGTTTTCACTCATATTACCCAGGCTGGAGTGCAATGGCGCGATCTCGGCTCACCGCAACCTCCGCCTCCTGGGTTCAGGCAATTCTCCTGCCTCAGCCTCCTGAGTAGCTGGGATTACAGGCACGCACCACCATGCCCAGCTAATGTTTTGTATTTTTAGTAGAGACGGGGTTTCACCATGTTGACCAGGATGGTCTCGATCTCTTGACCTCGTGATCCACCCACCTCGGCCTCCCAAAGTGCTGGGATTACAGGCTTGAGCCACCGCGCCCGGCCTTTTTTTTTTTTTTTTAATTCTTTTGCCCACTCCTTACTGCTACTGACTCTGTTACCCTATTATTACAATTTGATTCTGGGGTCCACTTTTCTTGCCCTATCATAGTGGAATTTTAGTTTCAGAATATTAATTATCATTAAATTACTGCTGGTCAATGTAGTAATAATTTTTTTAATCCTCTACTAATCTTAAACATAAAGGTATGGTACTTTTTAGCCAAATTAACTTAAAGAAATGTAAAGAGTAATCTTGTTCTGAAAGACTTTTTTTTCTCTTTTTTGTGACAGAGTCTCACTCTGTTGCCCAGTCTGGAGTACAGCGGCACAATCTTGGCTCACTGCAACCTCCGACTCCCAGGTTGAAGTGATTCTCCTGCCTCAGCCTCCTGAGTAGCTGTGATTACAGGTATGTCCTACCACACCCAGTTAATTTTTTTTTTTTTTTGTATTTTTAGTAGAAACAGCGTTCCACCATGTTGGCCAGGCTGGTCTTGAACTCCTGACCTCAGGTGATCCGCCCACCTTGGCCTCCCAAACTGCTGGGATTACAGGCATGAGCCACCACACCCAGCCTTGTTCTGAAGAACTTTTAATCCCTGACTCATACATACTTTCATTTCAAAACAAACAATATGCGATATTTAATATATAGCTCATGCCAGATAACTCCATTTATTTTTATTGAAATTTCACTGTTTGTAGTCCCTGCTACTTCAATTCGTGCAGTTCTTGGCAGCTTCGCCTTTATTAGCAATACAATAAATCTTCCTTTTTTTTTTTTTTGAGACGGAGCCTCATTCTATAGCCCAGGCTGGAGTGCAGCAGTGCGATCTCAGCTCACTACAACCTCTGCCTCCCAGGTTCAAGTGATTCTCCTGCCTCAGCCTCCCAGGTAGCTGGGACTACAGGCATGAGCCATGCTCCACTAATTTTTTGTATTTTTAGTAAAGACACGGTATCACCGTGTTAGCCAGGATGGTCTTGATCTCCTGACCTCGTGATCCGCCGGCCTCAGCCTCCCAAAGTGCTGATACAACAGGCGTGAGCCACTGCACCGAGCCTACCATATATCTTTTTTTTAAATGTGATTTTTTTTTAATTTGGTAGTAAAAAGAGTATTGGCCTAACAGTCATTGGACCTGAAATCCAAGATCCTCCCCCATAATGATTATATGAAAGGAATCCAATTTGCTAAGTTTCACTGTCAAACTTGAGAAATAAAAGCTGAGAGGCTGTAGGTTGGGTGCAGTGGCTCACATCGGTAATCCCAGCACACTCTGAGGCCAAGGAGGGAGGATTGCCTGAGTCCAGGAGTTGGAGAGCAGCTTGGACAACATGGCAAGACTCTGTCTCTACAAACGAACAAACAGTGACAAGAAAAAGAAAATGTAGACAGGAGAGATGATTTCAAAGTTTTCTTTCAGTCCCAGCCTCCTAGGAGTCTAGCCTTCTCTCAACATTTTAGGAAGTTACCTTGATAGGATTTTAATATCTGAGTAGACAAGGCCATAAAAAGGGGAATAGGAATCATTTCTTCTTTTTTATTTTGTTGACTTGTTATTTAACTTCTGCTAATAAGGCCCTATGACAATATTTGGTTGACTCATCAGAACTACTTTCAAGTCACAAAAAAATATTTTGAGCCTCTGTAAAAATAAATGTAAAGTGTTATTATATCCAGTAAAAATTAGGAATTTAACAAAAAGAAAGTAAAAAGGGACAGCATGGGAATTACGGAAGAGGCCCAAGTAAGGATTAAATGCATATAAATTAGAATTTTAGATTTAATTGCAAAACAAAAAAAGTCAACCCCTAAAATGGGCATCCATCTCTTCAAGTAATTTTTTTTTTTGAGATAGAGTCTCACTCTGTCATGCAGGCTGGAGTGCAATGGTGCAATCTCAGCTCACTGCAAACTCTGCCTCTCCAGTTCAAGCATTCTTGTGCCTCAGTCTCCCAAGTAGCTGGGATTACAAGTGTGCGCCACCACACCCAGCTAATTTTTGTATTTTTGGTAGAGACAGAATTTTGCCATGTTGACTAGGCTGGTCTCAAACTCCTGGCCCCAAGCGATCTGCTCCTCTTGGCCCCCCAGAGGGGGGATTACAGGCATGAGCCACTGCGCCCCGCCTGTCCACGTCATCTTTAACCTCGATGTCTCATAAGGCATTGTGTCAAACTATGTGAAACAATCACTTATAAATAAGACTCTTTTTTACCATCATGAAGTTTAAATCTAGAGTAATAGATTAGACAGTGATTATAAGTATTATATAAGATAAAATGCATCATTGCATGCAGAATATGAAAAAAGGTTGAAACACACGAATGCACACACAAGTTAAGAAGCTGGAGACGGCCGGGCGCGGTGGCTCAAGCCTGTAATCCCAGCACTTTGGGAGGCCGAGGTGGGTGGATCACGAGGTCAAGAGATCGAGACCATCCTGGTCAACATGGTGAAACCCCGTCTCTACTAAAAATACAAAAAACATTAGCTGGGCATGGTGGCGCGTGCCTGTAATCCCAGCTATTGAGGAGGCTGAGGCAGGAGAATTGCCTGAACCCAGGAGGCGGAGGTTGCGGTGAGCCGAGATCGCACCATTGCACTCCAGCCTGGGTAACAAGAGCGAAACTCCGTCTCAAAAAAAAAAAAAAAAAAAAAAAAGAAGCTGAAGACTTTGTGAAGGGCATAATTCTAGATGGAAGTAAACAGCATTAGCCATGGAATAGAAGATGGCATTACGTTGGAATGGTGAATTGTTCAGGAAAGTTATTGAGTAGGGTGCATTTACGAGCATGTTCCGAATTAGGTGAAGGTAATGTCACAGAGGCCAAGAGAAGAAAGTGTTAAGAAGTCAGTGTATCTAATGACACATTATATTATGGAAGGTGGCAGAGAAACGAATGTTTGGCTTTGGTTTTTAGAAGTAATTTTAGCAGAATAATGGGGGCAGAATATACATTAAAAGGGTTAAGAAGTTAGTGGTCAGAACAGTAAGCCCCAAAACAAACCAGCACCCTTGAAAAAGAGAAGCTCTGCTAAATTAAGAGACTAAAGAAGAAAGTGCCGTCTGAAATGGATGTTGTTGTGGACAAGCCAGCTCTAGCTTTATTTTTTTTTTGAGATGGAGTCTCCCTCTGTCACCCAGGCTGGAGTACAGTGGCACAATCTCAGCTCACCGCAACCTCCACCTCCCTGGCTCAAGCAATTCTCCTGCCTCAACCTCCCAAGTAGCTGGGATTACAGGTGTGTGCCACCATGCCCAGCCAATTTTTTTGTATTTTTAGTAGAGATGCGGTTTCATCATGTTGGTCAGGCTGGTCTCCAACTTCTGGCCTCATGTGATCTGCCTCCCTTGGCCTCCCAAAGTGCTGGGATTACAGGCGTGAGCCACCACGCCCGGCTGATGAGCCAACTATAAAAGATGTCTTAGGGACAGTTGAACACTAATCAGATAAAAGGCGTGGCATGGTGGTTCATGCCTATAATCTCAGCACTTCAGGAGGCCAAGGAGGAAGAATCACTGGATCCCAGGAGCTGGAGACCAGCCTGAGCAACACAGCAAGACCACATCTCTACAAACAAAAGCAAAACAGATAAAGGCTAGATATTCCTTAAGGTACATATTGTGTAATGCGGAGACTGCTAATTGAAAAAACAAAAAATGTTATGTTTTATAAAAAATATGCATTTATACCCATGTTCATAGCTGCATAATTCACAATAGCCAAAAGGTGAAAGCAATCCAAATGTCCTCCATCAAATGACTGGATAAACAAAATGAGGTATATACATACAATGGAATATTACTCAGCCTTAAAAAGGAAGAAAATTCTGACCCATGCCACAACATGGAGGAAGCTTAAAGACATTTTGCTAAGTGAAATATACTCCAGGCTTGAAAAGACAAATACTGGATGATTCCACTTAGATCAGATATCTAAAGCTGTCAGATTCTTAGAAACTGAAAGTAGATTGGTGGTTGCCAGGGGCTGAGGAAAGGAGAAAATGGGGAATTCTTTCATGAGTACAGTTTCAGTTTTGTAAGATGAAAAAGTTCTGAAAATTGGTTGTACAACAATGGGAATATGGTAAACACTACTGAACTGTGTACTTAAAAGTAGTTAAGATGGAGGCCGGGCGCGGTGGCTCAAGCCTGTAATCCCAGCACTTTGGGAGGCCGAGGTGGGTGGATCACGAGGTCAAGAGATCGAGACCATCCTGGTCAACATGGTGAAACCCCGTCTCTACTAAAAATACAAAAAATTAGCTGGGCATGGTGGTGCATGCCTGGAATCCCAGCTACTCAGGAGGCTGAGGCAGGAGAATTGCCTGAACCCAGGAGGCGGAGGTTGCGGTGAGCCGAGATCGTGCCATTGCACTCCAGCCTGGGTAACATGAGTGAAACTCCGTCTCAAAAAAAAAAAAAAAAAAAAAATAGTTAAGATGGTAAATATTATGATACATGTATTTGCCAATTAAAATTTTTTTGTTAGGGCCAGGCACAGTGGTTTGTACCTATTATCCTAGCACTTTGGGAGGCAGAGGTGGGAGGATCGCTTGAGCCTAGCAGTTTGAGACCAGCCTGGCCAACACGGCGAAACTCCATCTCTACTAAATATACAAAAATTAGCTGGTGTGTCACCCTGTGCCTGCAGTGCCAGCTACTCAGGAGGCTGAGGCACAGTCATTGCTTGAACCTGGGAGGCAGAGGCTACAGTGAGCCGAGATTGTACCACTGCACTTCAGCCTAAACGACAGAGAGAGTCTGTCTCAAAAATAATAATCATAGGCTGGGGGCAGTGGCTTATTCCTGTAATCCCAGCACTTTGGGAAGCCAAGGCAGATGGATTACCTGAGGTCAGGAGTTCGAGACCAGCCTGGCCAACTTGGTGAAACCCCGTCTTTACTGAAAATACAAAAATTAGCTGGGCATGGTGGCGGGTGCCTTTAATCCCAGCTACTGGGAGGCTTGAACCCAGGAGGCGGAGGTTGCAGTGAGCCGAGATGGCGCCATTGCACTCCAGCCTTGTCAACAAGAGCGAAACTCCATCTCAAAAATTATAATAAATAAATAAAGCACTGTGTCACATATTACAAGGCTTCTAGCCATCATAGTCCCCTCTGACTAAAGATACATGTACATAAATACACACACACACACACACACACACACACACACAAACGTAAAGAAAAGGTCCACATAATACAAATTGAGGTGCTAAAATAATAATCACTGACTAGTGAGTATATTTTTATTTTCCTTTTTGTTTGTATATATTTTCCAATTTTCTATGCATATTTTCTGCTTTTGTAATAATAAAACTCTTTTTCCCAAGTTACAAAACACAAATAAATAAGAAAGAAATGATGGGTGCTGTGGAAGTCAATGCAGAGGGCCAACAATTCTTGGAAAATTTTTTTTTTTTTTTTTTTGAGACGGAGTTTCACTCTTGTTACCCAGGCTGGAGTGCAATGGCGCGATCTCGGCTCACCGCAACCTCCGCCTCCTGGGTTCAGGCAATTCTCCTGCCTCAGCCTCCTGAGTAGCTGGGATTACAGGCACACGCCACCATGCCCAGCTGATTTTTTTTTTGTATTTTTAGTAGAGACCGGGTTTCACCATGTTGACCAGGATGGTCTCGATCTCTTGACCTCGTGATCCACCCGCCTCGGCCTCCCAAAGTGCTGGGATTACAGGCTTGAGCCACCGCGCCCGGCCGGAAAATTTGATAACAAAATGAGATGGAGTTGTATCTAAAAGACATCACTGAGTCTAGAGTACCTCTTTCTGTGGCAGTGAGTCCTCTGAAAATCTGGTGGGGGGAGTGGATGAAGCTTCTGGCCTCAGAATGAGAATATGTAAAGTTAAAGTTTTGCATATCATTTTAGGTGGTGATGGAGCTTCCTAAAACCTCAGGTTAGATACTTCCAATCTAGAAGTTTTTGTTTACTTATTTAGCTTATTTGTTTATTTTCAAACACACTAAGTAAGGAAAGGAGTCAGTGGAAAAACCAAGATTGAAAGTTCAAGAACGTGGAGAAATTTTTACACTGATACAGACTTCCAGATGAGACTGTGATTTTGATACACACATAAATCAATACGGTAGATTTAAAATTGTCTATCATAGGACTGGTGTGGTGGCTCATACCTATAATCCCAGCACTTTGGGAGGCAGAGGCGGGCAGATCACTCGAGGGCAAGAGTTCAAGACCAGCCTGGCCAACATGGCAAAACTCCATCTCTATCTGAAAAATAATAAATAATAAATAAATAAAATTGTCTATCAGGGGATGCTTTTTCTGTGGTCCAGTGTGAGGTAAAGGAAGGGAAACAAAAAAAGCGTGAGGGCCTTCATGGTTTTTCACGGTTCCACATCTTTATGTGGGAAGGTTAGAATCCTAAGAATATGTATAGATTTTCAAAAAGATACCATTCATATTAACATTTTTTTTTCATCCGTTTGCAGAAGTTTACCAATGGAGTCTTTCTCTGCTGAGATCAATTCAACTGACCTACTCTTACGGCCATGGAGTAAGCCCCCAGAAATTCTCTCCATGGTCATTCTCAGCCTCACTTTTTTATTGGGATTGCCAGGCAATGGGCTGGTGCTGTGGGTGGCTGGCCTGAAGATGAAACGGACAGTGAACACAGTTTGGTTCCTCCACCTCACGCTGGCGGACCTTCTCTGCTGCCTCTCCTTGCCCTTCTCGCTGGCTCACTTGGCTCTCCAGGGAAAGTGGCCATACGGCAGCTTCCTATGCAAGCTCATCCCCTCCATCATTGTCCTCAACATGTTTGCCAGTGTCTTCCTGCTTACTGCCATTAGCCTGGACCGCTGTCTTGTAGTACTCAAGCCAATCTGGTGTCAGAATCATCGCAGTGTAGGGACAGCCTTCACTATCTGTGGATGTATCTGGATGATGGCTTTTGTGATGTGCATACCCATGTTCATGTACCGGGAAATATTCACTATAGACAACCATAATACATGTGGCTACAGATTTGATTCCTTTAACTCATTTGATTATTCAGACTTCTATGGAGATCTACTAAAAAACAGGTCTTCTGAAAACATGGTTCAGCTGCCTGAAGAAATGGATGATAGGTTAGATCCTTCCCCTTTCCAAACAAATGATCATCCTTGGACAGGCACCAGTCTCCTCCAACCTCAAACATTTCAAAGACCTTCTGCAGATTCACTCCCTAGGGATTCTGCTAGATTAACTACTCAAAATCCATATTCTAATGTATTTAAACCTGCTGATGTGGTCTCATCTAAAATCCACAGTGGATTTCCCATTGAAGATCACAAAACTAGCCCACCAGATAACTCTGATGGTTTTCTCTCTACTCATTTAGAGCTGTTCCCTAGGGCTTCTAGCAATTCCTTATATGAGTCTGAGCTACCACAAGATTTCCAGGATTATTACTATTTAGGCCAATTCACATATGACAATCAAGGGCCAACACCCATGGTGGCAATAGTCATCACCAGGCTAGTGGTGGGTTTCCTGCTGCCTTCTGTTATCATGGTCACCTGTTACAGCTTAATCGTCTTCCGAATGCAAAGGGGCCGCTTCGCCAAGTCTCAGGGCAAAACCTTTCGAGTGGCCGTGGTGGTGGTCACTGTCTTTCTTGTCTGCTGGGCTCCATACCACATTATGGGAGTCCTGTTACTGTTTATTCAACCAGAAACTCCCTTGGGGGGAGCTCTGATGTCTTGGGACCATGTGTCCATTGCTCTAGCATCTGCCAATAGTTGCTTTAATCCCTTCCTTTATGCCCTCCTGGGGAAAGATTTTAGGAAGAAAGCAAGGCAGTCCATTCAGGGCATTCTGGAGGCAGCCTTCAGTGAGGAGCTCACACATTCTACCCACTGTTCCTTAAACAATGTCGTTTCAGAAAGAAATAGTATTAGCACGACCGTGTGAAAATATGGAGCAGCCAGGAAGCAGGGGCTCTTAGGTATGAATATTTCTAAAAGGATTAAGAGATAGGATGAGCAGGGGACTTCAAAAACTGTCGAAGAATCAATCCAGTGGTTCTTTTTTTTTTTTTTTGAGACGGAGTTTTGCTCTTGTTACCCAGGCTGGAGTGCAATGGCGCGATCTCGGCTCACCGCAACCTCCGCCTCCTGGGTTCAGGCAATTCTCCTGCCTCAGCCTCCTTAGTAGCTGGGATTACAGGCGCGCGCCACCATGCCCAGCTGATTTTTTGTATTTTTTTAGTAGAGACGGGGTTTCACCATGTTGACCAGGATTGTCTCGATCTCTTGACCTCGTGATCCACCCGCCTCAGCCTCCCAAAGTGCTGGGATTACAGGCTTGAGCCACCGCGCCTGGCCAATCCAGTGGTTCTTAAAGGGTGGCCACAGACTATTGGCGTCGGCATCCCCTAGAAACCTGTTAGTAATGCAAATTCCCAAGCCCCACCCCAGACTTGCTGAATTGGAATCTCCGGGAGTTGGGGCCCAGCAAGTGCAATTAACAAACCCTCTTGTTTCTCATTAATGCTAACTGTAAGAATCATTGTAAAAATGAGTTCTATTTCTATCCCAAACTAAGCTATGTAAAATGAGAGAATTTACTGTTTTTAAATGTTTGATGTTAACTGTTTATTGATGTTTCCATCATTAAATTTTTCCTAAGCATTGTCTAAGTCTTCCAGATTCCATTTAAAACCATTTCTTCTTCTCTTACCTGAGTGAAAGATGATCACTTATTCTACAGCTTTGTTGTCGTGTGGTGTTGATGGTTTTAAATGCAAAGAAGGTGCAAAAAAAAAAAAAAAAAAAAAAACCTGTGAAGGCAAGAAGCCATGAGTCTGAGTCTGGAGCACAGAATTATACAATGCCTGATGCCTGTCCTGGGAACACCCCTGGGTACAGGACATAGGAATTCTGAGTTTCCAGGCTGGGCGCTGTGGCTCACACTGCAATCCCAGCACATTGGGAGGCCAAGGTGGGTGATCATGAGGTCAGGAGTTCGAGGCCAGCCTGGCCAACATGGTAAAACCCCGTTGCTACTAAAAATACAAAACTAAAAAAAAAAAAGGAATTCCGAGTTTCCAGTATTACAGCTAAATAACCATCCATTGCATGAAAATGGACTACTAATACATGTAAAAACTGACTCATGAAATGTTGTGAAACCTGTGGTTTAGGGAGTTCTGTTTATTCTATCTGCCTACTGGTCGACCACCTCTCTTCCATTCCTCTTCTTAAGCTACTAAATTTCCTTATTACTCCTCTGCCTGCAAACCTTCCGCATCAGACTTTGTGCCTCGAACAACCTCTAATTTCATTCAGATTCTAGTTACTCCTTTCCTCTTGCTCCATAATACTTTCTAACAAAGTATTATTTCAAGCGGAAGGAGAAAGAGGATGAAGCAGCAATTCTTCTACTCACTGCAACTGAGTACCCTACCAAGCTTGCAGTCACATTTTAAAACATGACTACAGGCAGAATTCACGCCAAAATTACCAAAAATATCTTCTGGGTTTTTTTAATTAATCTTTGTCTTTGCCAAAGTAATATATGCACACAGTTTTAAAAGAATTTAGTAACGTATATAACAAAATATGAGGTCTGCTACTTCACTGTACCCCAAAGTTCCCTCCTCCCTCTCCCATTTCCCAGAGATAACCCTTGCACAATTTGAGATGTTTTGTTTGATAATTACCATGATGTGTCTAAATCATGTGCTTATGCTGCTCTTTTCTGGAGATATGATTAAATGACTTCTTCTTTTGAAAGGAGAAGACGCTTATCCGAGCACTCCATATTTTTGTTTATCCAGCGACCCAACATTCATTAATAACCATTATATTTTAATTCATTCATGACCACACATTTTTCTTTTACTTTGTCTATACACTCCAACCATTTATATAGCTTCCTGTCTGTCCCTCTTTCATTTAAAACAAAATTACCTAACTTCCTACACCTTCGCATTTTTCTGTGTGTATAAACGTTTATGTGTTAAAAGTCTGAAATTTCAGGCTTATTTGTATCACAACATGGCTTCATCTAAACTGAATACGATCATGTAGTCTAAAAACAGAAAATGACATGTGTTTTAGACTTGTTCATTATGTGTTCAATGGTTGAGGTGAGGGTCTGGACTAAAAATCTTTATAAAGTACTACGCAGAAAAATTTCAAATCACTAGGAATTCTTTCAGTTGTGAAGAATGTCTGACATAAGATTTGCAGTGCTACCTTTCCAGCTTATGTACTAATTTACTTATATATTTGATATGAATAAATGCTTTTTTCTCATGGTTCTTTGCAAGACTCAGAGATTCATAAATCCTTTTGTTTCACATTCAGAATATATAATCATCTCTAAATATGCAGCAAATAAATCTCCTAGTGAGTGCCTATAGACTTGATATCCTAGCAATTAGCCAGGCTTCTGGAAACCCCAGCACATCACATAAGACCCTAGGAATAAGACCTAAACTTCCGGGGTTGGTATATAGGATATCAAGGTGAATAATCTTGACAGTTACAAAGATTTAATGTACAATGAGTAATCAGTGATTTGTCTTTGCCAATATAGTAATAAAGTATGTGCATGATTACTTTGGCAAAGACAAATGATGCACACAGCATTTCTGGATTCCTTTTCCTTTCCATTTACTTTGGAAATATATCCTGAAGAAATTCCTACAGTTAGAATTCCCTCATTTCTGATGAAAACCTGGTGAGTACCTGTAACTGTTTTGTACTATTTTCTCCAGAAAGTCCCAGGTGGGAACACAACTACTATCCAAAATATAATATCTTTTTTTTTTTTTTTTTGAGATGGAGTCTAACCCTGTCACCCAGGCTGGAGTGCAGTGGCGTGATCTAGGCTCACCGCAACCTCCACCTCCCGTGTTCAAGCAATTCTCCTGCCTCAGCCTCCCGAGTAGCTGGGATTACAGACACCTGCCACCACGCCCACCTAATTTTTGTATATTTAGTAGTGACGAACTTTCATCATGTTGGCCAGGCTGGTCTGGAACTCCTGACCTCAGATGATCCACCCACCTTGGCCTCCCAAAGTACTGGGATTATAGGCGTCAGCCACCAGGCCTAGCCAGAATCTTTTTTTTTTTTTTTTTTTTTTTTGAGAGAGCGTTTCATTCTTGTCACCCATGCTATAGTGCAATGGCACAGTCTTGGCTCACTGCAACCTCCACCTTCCGGGTTCAAGCGATTCTCCTGCCTCAGCCTCCCAAGTAGCTGGGATTACAGGCATGCACCACCATGATCAGCTAATTTTGTGTTTTTGGTAGAAATGGGGTGTTTTTAGTAGAGTTGATCAGCCTGACCAACCTTTTGCCATGTTGGTCAGGCTGATCTCGAACTCCTGACCTCAGGTGATCCACCACCTTGGCCTCCCAAAGTGCTGGGATTACAGGTGTGAGCCGCCATGCTGGCCCCAAAGTATAATATCTTAAATCTTTATCCTAAAATGCAAGCAAGGTGGGCCTACTCCATACACCAACCTGTAAGGGGTGACTGATTCTCCAATATTCCATCATACTTGATATCATTTGAAAAGAAGAATGTTAAAGACATGCCTTTGATTCTTCTTTCCCATCAATATCACAAAAAAAGTCAGGGTCAACTAATTCAACCAGTGCTGGAAGATGGAGGAGGAATAAAGACCAACTGAAACTAAATTCTTTCACATTTCTATTTTCCTTCCCTGGCCAAAAGAAATTTGAGACCACTACCTGAAAGATAAAACTGTAAACATTCTTTTTTTTTTTTTATTAAGAAAGCATGCAAAAAAACAATGACAACAACTTGTGAGACCAGACGCCCCCTTCCCAGGATGCAGCAATGCAAAGCATTATGGGTGGTGGCACGAAGGACTCACCAAACCAGAAACATGAGGAGCAGGGACTGAGGAGAGAAAGGCGGGGATGGGTGGATCTATACCAAATAATCACTCCTTGTGTCCCTCTCCTCCACTTTCTCGCGTATTTCCTCTTACAGGCAGTGAGCTCCTGCAGTTTTGCACACATCACCCGATACAACAATAATGACTACACTTCGGGTCCGGCAATGCTAGACCAACAAGAAAAGTAGTATTCTTTTCACTTCATGGGGGGGAAGGGGGGAACTGAGGCCCAGAGGGAGTCAGGTGTGCCCTGTGCCATGAAACAAGACTGAGCTTGGTAGAAGGGAGCTGGGATCTCAGGAGGCCTGATGGCCAATCTCCCGTCCCAGACCCAAACTTGAGCTACCCTGGCTCCACACCAGAATTCTTCATGAGACTAGTTTGCGGAAGACACAGATGAACAAGGGGCATTTGTATGTATGATTCAGTTTACCCTTGCAAATCCTGTATGGGTCTGAACAGGAAAAGGGTTTAGAAAAGAGGAGTGATCATTAGCAAAGCGGAGAGCTGATGGGAAGTTGTGTGCAGGACGCACCTTAACTGGAAGGAATAAGGAAGGAAAAGATGCCTAAAATAGGGACACTGGGCAAAGGCATTTTGCCACCCTCTAAGAGAAATTCTCCTTTCCCCAAAGGGAAATATTATATCATACTTCAACCCCACTAAGTGCCCTCCAGCATCATGGGAGATTCAAGCCACTCGCACCCCCATTTCTTTTTTACAAAGGCTTTAAAGAAATAAAGTGCTCTTTAGTTAACTGCCCTATCTTGCCCCTTTACTTCAGCCTCACTGGACTTCTTCAATAAACTCTCACATATAACCCCCTTCCAAAAAAAGGAAAGGGGTGGATGAAAGAAAAAAGCAGGAGAGCAGAAAGCCAAATCTCTCGGAAATCATGGGTAAATAAAATAATATGAACGAAAAGCAGAAATCACAAAGAAAGTGGCCTTGTCTATTCCATACATTTTGTCCCACAGCTTTTCAGCAAGTGAAATAAGGACAGAAGTAAAATTGTTTTTCCCTCTCCTAACTAAAATTCAGCAATTAACATTAAATATACTCTGAGTACTTTGCTACAGTAAATCATGGCCACCCCTTGTAAAAGTAGATGAGTTAGCTCCATACTTTTTTCTGGGGGTCCCCTTTGGCCCTCACTGAACTCTTGCCTCTAGATTATTGACTGTCCTCCACCAA